TTAATGGAGTGTTTGGTTATCGAGTTTCACTTTCGTATAGATGAGCCCCATTAGCACTACCTCACTGTCTCTTGGTGCCACCCCTTTAAATGGAGGGGAATGGAGTTCCTAACGAATAACCCTTTTCATCATGAAAATAATAAATATCCCCCCCCAAAAAAATACGAACCTATAAAACGACAAAACAACAGAAACGAAGCTACGTTAGAAAGCGAAACCATCAATCCCTTACGAAATCGAAAAAAATAAGGATGTTGAAAAGTCTAAATAAATAAATATAATCGATACTCACTTTACCCATTTCGTACTCACTCCCACACTCACACACACACTAAAAAAATCTGAATTAAAAACAAAAAACGAACTACTTAGAATGAGCGACCGAACTCCTGCCCACACCCAAAAGTTCATTCATCAGACATTAAAATGAGAGTAACTTGCTCCACGCGGAGGAATTACAAAGGAGGGAAAATACGAGAGAGAGAGAAAAAAAATGTCGGGCAGGAAGGAAGTGTCGCCAAGATAAAAATCTCGAAAGAAAACGCGCATTCGGAAAATGAAAAATTAAAAAGAAAAGAGCCAACTCATATATTTTTTTTTTTTTCAAAAGAAACGCTAACCGCCGTGAGAAAATGATGGCTATCGAAAGGGGGGGAGGGGTAAAGGAAGAGGCAGGGAAGGGGGGGGGAGGCGGTCTTCCTAGCGTGAAACAGCGACACAGAATTAATGATTTTGAATTTCTTAATATCTCGATAACGGAAAGCAAATACAATATAGAAAATTATTTGATTACAAGTTACAAAGACACATCCTCCCTACACCCCTATAAAAAGGCCAATTCAAATAAAAATAAACGTACTTAAACAACGGATCTCAACACATAAAAAATAAAGAGGAATCGATTAAATACTAAAAAAAAAAAACACTAATCCCACAGATACACGCGATATCAAAAGATAACGAAACGAAAGAACGAAAAAAAAAAAAAAAAAAAAAAAAAAAAAAAAATGAAATGGCCGACCGTGCTTGCCTTCCTGCCTGCCTGCCTGCCTTGCATGACGTGCCTGCAACAGGAAGATGAGGAACGAAGGAGAGAGCGCTTCAAGATGGACGTTCGCTGGATATTGGCTGCGAGAAAATGCTTCTGATGGCAACGCGAGCCTCATAACCCGGGGTTTCCTGAGGGTTTCCTTTCCTCGAGAATCCTCTACATCGCGCCAGTAGATGAAAAGGTCTTTTACGAAGAAGAAGGCGTGAAAAGGAGAAGGAGAGAACGAAAAGGGAGAAGGAGAAGGAGAAGGCAAAAGGAGAAGATGGAGAAAGAGGAGATGGAGAAAGAGAAAGAGAAGAAAATAGCTTTAACCGAGATCATCTACGTCGCGCCAGTAGATGAAAGAGCTTGTACTGAGAAGAAAAAAAAAAAAAAAACGATGGACAAGAAGAGAAGAAAGAAGAACGAAAGAAGAAAAAGAAATAGAAGCAGTAATAGAAGACAAAAAAAAGCGAAAATAACAATAAGGTGAAGACGAAACGAAGTAGACCGTGGAACGATGAATAATTAAAAAAATCGCGGGCGGCAGGAAGGACAAGCATTATAGAAAATGGAAGAAGAAAACGAAGAAAAATGGCGATAACTTCGAGATGTGAAAGGGTTAGTGCTGCAACGAAACTTTCATTTCCCTGAAGACAAGAGGAGGAAAGCACGAATAAGGAATAACGGGAAACAAAAGATATACACCAGAATAAGAGAGACAGAGCGAGGGAGAAGGAGGGGGAGAGGGAGAAAGAAAGAAAAAGAGAGAGAGAGATTGAGAGCGAGAGAGAGAGAGAGAGAGAGAGAGAGAGAGAGAGAGAGAGAGAGAGAGAGAGAGAGAGAGAGAGAGAGAGAGAAAGAGAAAGGAGAAAGAGAGAAGGAGAAGGAGAGAGAGAGAGAGAGAGAGAGAGAGAGAGAGAGAGAGAGAGAGAGAGAGAGAGAGAGAGAGAGAGAGAGACAGAGAGAGAGAGAGAGAGAGAGAGAGAGAGAGAGAGAGAGAGAGAGAGAGAGAGAGAGAGAGAGAGAGAGAGAGAGAGAGAGAGAGAGAGAGAGAGAGACTGAGGAAAAAGTTCAGCCGAGTCCCCGACGATTTATCCCAATTTGCCCTAATTTTCTATTAACCATAGCATGGAACAATTTCCCCATTCGTCTTCCTCGCTTCAATCGCGTACCATCCCTGAACAAACTGGGCCAGCAACAACAACAACAACAACAATAGTGCCTGCAGTGCAGCTACACTACAAATAACACAAGTAACACCTGACGAGAACACAAGGATGTCACAGTGGGTGGTGTAACGTCATACGCACACACACACATAAAGAGCTGGACTGGTTTACTATCTAATTCCTAGGACAAGCTTTACACTAAGGGTACTCAAAAATTGGTTCTTCCTTCACGTAATTCAAAATGTTGAATTGACAGCGTGCATTCACAACCTATATTTAGTGTAAAAAAAGGAAATGACTACACTATTACCTAATTTCAGTACATGCCCATAATGTAAAAAAAATATAATCACATATATGTATACTTATATATATATTACATTATATACATATATACATATATATATATATATATATATATATATATATATATATATATATATATATATATATATATATATATATATATAAACACACAAAATGCATATATATTCATATATATACATATATATGATGTGACAAATCAGAAAGTGGTCCCCTGAGACTGAGCTACTGGCTAAGTGAGGACTTAGCTGGAAGACGGCTTGTGCAGGAGGCTGTTGAAGGCATTCCCTGATCCAGCTAGAGATTCCTGCTGAGTCCGAGGATCTTCCGTGGTTGCTGCAACAGTGTCTCGGTTCCAGTCTATACTGTCCTGGAAACTACGATGCTCGGGGAGGGGTTAAAGGGGGGGTGGGTTAAAGGGACAATAATAATAATAATAAAAAAAAAACGAAAAGAGTGGTGGGGGTATAGAGAGAGAGGGAGGGAGAGAAGGAGGTGGATGGGGAGGTGATAATAATACAATAATAGACAGAAAAATAATGACAGGCAGAGAAGACATTGCAGACAAGGTGTGAGGGTGTGGTAGGTGAGGAGGGGTGTGGGTGCCAGGGTGCCAGGGGCGGGTGGCTGGCACTGACACCGTCCAGTTGGAAGATAACAAAACATACAGAAGTGGAGGAATAAAAGGGGGTGTAAAGAAACGGCTTCTTTGAGAAAAACGCTCATAAATATCAGTTATAATATAAAGGGAAAAAGGATTGGAGAGAAACATCGTTGCAATTATACATAATTATGTACGAAATGGTACAAATCGAGCATAGTGAATCCTCCATTCGTCCTCGCATAGGAGAGAAGATATATCCTATCTGGGCTTGTCATTTGAATATATAAATATATATATATATATGAGTATAAATAAAAATTTGGCAGAAAAAGTATTTTTGAGAGAGTCTCGGCGCGGGAGACCCACGGCGGGTAAACCGTCTGCTCTCAGGATCTCTTAAAACACCGGCCATGGAGGCGCCCCGAGAAGGCACTTCGCGGCACCGAGCCACCGCGCCACCGCCCGCCGCACTGAAGGCCCGACGTGCACCCTCTGACGGAGGGAGCAACGTGCAAGGTGACTGGCAAGCGGTATTCATCCTCAGCGGTTACTGTGGGAGTCCGGGCGAAGGCGTGCGTGCGGCGGGCGGGGGCGTCGGGCCGGACCACTGCGGGCGCCGGGGCAGCCGGGAGCCAAGCGACACACACACGGTTTGTGCCGACTGAGAAAGTGGGAGAAAACTGCTCGCCAATGGGCAATATATGCAGAACGAGAGACAGGGAGAAAGGGAGAAGAGAGTGGGGGAGAGAAAGAGATGAAGGAGAGAGAAAGAAAATAAGAGGCAAAGGCCATGTAGGTTGGGAGACGCGCGAGGCATCTTATCCCGAGGGAGATTCGGTGTGTTGAAGAGCTGAGTGTGGTGGTCTAGCCTTGTCGTCATGAATATCATACACATGATGGTGTGGGTTGAGCCAGCGTGTCTCCGCACCAAGCTTGCTTTCCGACAGTGTAGCGGCTGTAAGGAGGTTACAGGAACCAGGAGAACACCCGCGCTGTGGCCTCCTGCAAAAGGGGCGTGGCAGGCCGCACAGCGCGCGCGGGCGTTCTCCTGGCGACCCGCTGTCTGTAGGTGGAGGAGGAGGGCGGGTTTAACAAGTACTGAGATCTCGGCTAATGTGAGGAGCCCAGGCGAGCCCAGCAGGAGCGTCCCGACAGCCTGTGAGGAGGGGGAGGGAGGCCAGCGGGGGCTAGCAGGGTCGGCGCGGAGCAGCGGATGGTGGCGGGCACTACGTGTGGGGCGCTCAGCAGGGCTGCTCGCGTGCGGGCGGGGGCGAAGGGGGCAGAGGGGGCACGCCCACCAGGGACCAAGAGCCCCTTGGTCCCTGGACGCACGTGCCCCATGTGGGAGGAGGCATGGTTGTCAACTGACCATGATGTGAAGGACTTACACTATGAGAATGGTTTCCATAAATAAACAGAAAAAGTGACAACCATGGCCGCAGGTGACCTTATGGAGTGATAGTTCATGATTGTAAAAGACAAAGAGATAATTCCTCTACGAGGTATAACATATAACAGAGATAACATTTCAAAGGTAGTGAGAGAAAACCTCACGAAAGGACCGTATAGACTCTAAGAGACATGTGAGAGAGACAAAACAGGCCAGTAAGAAAGGATGGATGAGGAAAAAAAGATAAAGAGACAGAAAGAAAATGAGAATGAGAATGAGAATGAGGACGAGAGAGAGAGAGAAAGAGAGAGAGAGAGAGAGAGAGAGAGAGAGAGAGAGAGAGAGAGAGAGAGAGAGAGAGAGAGAGAGAGAGAGAGAGAGAGAGAGAGAGGTGGTCAGGAAGGGCAGGAAGGGCGGTGACGTAGGTAGGTATGGAGGTAGCGCTAGGGAGGGCGTGTGGCGTGTGCGGGTTGTGCCTACCACAGGTTGTTGTGCGGCGCGGCCTTGGCTCGCCCTGAGCTGGGCCTGAAGGTGCGGGGGAGGGTGGAAGTAGCGACAGGGTTCACGAGAGCAGCGGCTCTTGATAGCGTCCATGCAAACTGTGACAGTGCCCTCGTCTGTCGTGCTCACGTGATCGGGCGGGTGGGCGAAGCGGCACTCCTGCTCCGGCCTCTTGCACGCGCCGCGCTGAAACTCGCGGCATACCTAGAGGCAGAAGAGCGGACTACAGCGGGCGACCCAGCAGCGGCGGGAGACACCGGGAGAGAACCAGGGGACAGCTAGCAAGAGGGGAGCAGCTGGAGGAAGGGGACGGGGAAGGGAGAGGGAGAGGGAGGTGGGCGTCGGGCGGTGGGCAGGAGGAGGAGGAGGGTTGTTCCAAGGAGTTGTGGAGAGAGGAAGAGGGCCGAGGGTGGGGGGGGGGAAGGGCAATCTCGAGAAGCAGGCAGGATAAAAAGGAACGGGAGAGGAAGGGCAGAGTCGGGAGGCAGGTGCCTGACGAAGGGGCAAGGAGGACCTGGAGAGCATCCCTTCGACGAGCGCCGGGAAGCAGCTAGTATGACCGTCACTCTAGGGGGACTTTGATCCAACAACGACGAAGAGAAAAGAAGAAATGCTCTTTTGGAGGAGAGAGATGAAACAAATTTATATAATAGAATGCGATCAAACTGGAAAAATTGATAACTGGAATGATGCTAAAAAGATCTTATCCAAGAGTAGAAAAGGAGAATCGATTCACGAAGAGAGAGAGAGAGAGAGAGAGAGAGAGAGAGAGAGAGAGAGAGAGAGAGAGAGAGAGAGAGAGAGAGAGAGAGAGAGAGAGAGAGTCAAAACAAGAGACATCAGAGAGTCAACGAAGCTGTAGACAGTCGAGATCTAATCGAAGAGTAACTGATGAAGGGAATCGAGAAATGTGCGTGTTGAAGATGTGGAATTTTCCCCTAACAGGAATGCGTTGCTACAGACGCGTCTTGCACAGGAAAAAAGAAGAGACGAAAGACTTGTTCATGTAAAGAAAAAAAAGGGAAGATTCCAAGGGATTCCTGGAAGAAAATATACACTATGCAGAGACAGCAAGAGCGCTCAGCAGACAGAGAAGTCAGAAGCTGCATCCCGACGCTGGTGGAAGGAGAAACCCGCAAAGGTATGTGGAGGTAATTTTGCTCCTGGGGAAACGTAGGCAAGTTGGCGGCTCACTGGTAAAGGTGTAGGTGTGGGGCGTGGGTGTGGGGGGAAAGGAAAGGGTAATGTTCGGGCTGTTTGGGACTTGGGCAAGGTGTGGCGCTGGGGACGGAGATGGACTGTGGAGCAAGGTGGATCTTGGTGCCCTTGGGTGGAGTGGGAGCGTTTGTGTGGGTGTAGGAGATCAGGTTTACAACAGGTCTGGAAGTATGAGGGCGTCTAGCATCTGCAACACGTCGTTTAAAATGACTACTCCTACGATCATCAAACTCTTATTCACTTAGGATGGAAGGCTATGTTACCGCATAAGGACAGCGGCCATGGAGGAGACATTAGCAAAGAGGATTTCCCCCTCGTGTTGCAGACGCAGACCTCATGAACATTTGGTAAAGAGTGAGCGCGGCCGAGGTCAGCTGAGGCCAGAAGGTCAGCTGAGGCCTGAGTGCTGGGCCTCCACTCGTGCCTCTTGGTGGAAAAAAATCTTGTATCTTTTTTTTTATCTTAATCATCGTTTAAAAAGTTAGTTTTGTTGTTGTTGACGACAGAGCCGGGCACCCAGACGCAATGCCCACAACAACAGCACACAGTGACGGATCAGAAAAGGGGGCGTGGGTCAAGGGGGTACTAAACTGGGCAGGGAGAGGGGGGGGGGCATGAGGTGACCGTGTGCAGCACGTACCATGTAGATGGGCGGAAGAAGAGGGCAGAGCGGGTTGTGACAGTGGTGGAGGCGGTGTGGTGGAGGTGGTAATGGCGGGGTCTAGGTGCCCGGCGGCGCGTCAGGTGTGGGTGTTAGGGTGAGGCAGGTGTCCGGCAGGTGGAGTGCGGGCAGCACCCACCTCTCGGCACCGCTCTCGGTCGAGGAAACAAAGATGACAATCCAACCAAAGAAGGCAAGCAGCATGCAGATGGTACAAGCAACTGAGGGTCATGCAGCAGGCAAGCAGCAGAGAAGCAGTAGGTGGCAGTAGCGGCGGAGGAGCCCGTTGCCTGCCTGCAAACCTGCGCGGCGGTCATGGCTGGAGGGCGGGGAGGGGCGGGGGTGGGGCGGGGCATGGGCGGGGGCGGATCGGGGCCTGTGACTATACACAGCGGGAGAGCTATGTCAGGAGGGGGTGCCAAGCATCCCTTCGGAGGCGGCACAGCTGGGGTGGCGGGAGTGGACTCTGGTGCAGCACTAGCGAGGCGCGGGTGCTTGAGTGAAGTGGGCGGGGCACCTGGCACACGGGGGAGGGGCGCCTAAGATACCTGGGGCATCAACGCACCTAGAGGAGGCAAGGGTACAACTAGGGTTCACCTAACACCTAAGAAGGCATCAGCACTCCTAGTGCACGGAGGGGGAAGGGGGCATCTGTGCATTCAGCTGAAGGGATGGGGTATGCCGGGGGCACGAGGCACACGAACGACATTCCGCCGGTCACAGGGGCACGCCCTTCGGCGGGGCACCCACAGGAGGACTCGGCGTCGGCGCGCCCTGCCTCCTTTTCTCGTATCCAACTCCTACGGCTTGAGTATGAGAATAGCTCCGCTAAGACCCGGATGTCTCCCCGCGGGAGAGGGCACGTGAGGGGCCCGGGGCTTCACCACGGGGGAGGGGGGATGGGGCGGGGTCTGTCGCCTGGGGGAGGGGAGGGGCGGGGCGATGGGCTTGTAAATGAGTGTGTGAGTGAGTGTATTGTGAGATATATATCCAGTCACACTTAAACTCCCAAACACAAATACACACACATGCGCCCGCACATTCTACCAAATCCACACACACACAAATACATACAAATAAAAATACACACGCACGCACGCATGCATGCACGCACACCCACCCACCCACCCACCCACCCACCCACCCACCCACACACACACACACACACACACTCACATACACACATACACAGACACAGACACAGACACACACTCACACACACATACACACACACACACACACATACAAACCTCTCTGACATGAGCATCAATGTCTGACGTGTTTAATGAATGACATATCACGCCCACGCATCTCGTGACTCGACGCATGGGAGTGAACTGAGTGTAGCTGAAGTGATTTGGCTCGTTATGGTGGGCGTGGGCGGAGTGGCAGCAGAGGCATTGGCAGTGAGGGCGAGTGGATTCGCTGTTAATGAGTGTGGGAAGAAGTGTGGGCAGAAGTGTGGGCGTGGGTGGAAGTGTGGGCGTTAGGTTTGCTGCGCAGACAACCGGCCATGGGTGGAGTGTTGCAAACATGTATCCACGGAGAGTCTTTTTGGGCGCGGGTGGATGCCTCTCGACACCAAGGGGGACGCGGGCGCTGCTCGGGGCAAGCAACTGCACATGCCGTAACTGGCACGGCGCCGGACTGTGGCTGAGCACCGCGGCAATAATGCACGCGTGCCACGCCAGCTACATTTCCCTTTCTCAGGGGGGGGGGGGGGAGTTGGGGCGGAGGTCCAATGTAACAGTGTTACATAAAATTCCATAGATGTAAAATGGCAGCACAAGGGGGGGTGGGGTTGTCAGAGGGTGTCAGAGGAGGGTTGGTGGAGGTGGTGGCAGCCATGTTAAAGTACAGCCGCTATGTTACAAGTGCCCATGACGTAGCTCGTGGGTACATCAGGCAACACTCGAGAGAATCCTGAGCGGAAACGGCTACTGAAACATTTACTATTACAAGAAAAAATATTTAGTTTACAGTGCCGATGCAACGTATCTAAATATAAATGTAACATTCATTGAAAAATCAGTGCTCCATTCATTACAAAATAAGGAGGAAAAAAATGTATATAAATAATAATAAAAAAAGAGTACGAAAATATCATCTCAACAAAGATAATTATAGTATGTAAACTGTTAGCAAATGAATGAGAAATCGGTCAATGCGTAATTAGAGTAAGCAACATCATAAAAGTGTTAAATTGACGAGCAATCAACGCAGATTAACTATTAATTGAACAGAGGAATAAATATATATATACCAATGCTGTTGATTAATCGATAAAAAATATGTAGGAAAAAAGTGTTATTTCTCAAGAGAACCAATGCTGGACACATGGGGGAGGGGGGTAATATTAATAACAGGTTATATAATCGAGATTTCAAGAATACGCAAGTGGTAGTGGTAAGAAAAGTAGAGAGAAGTATGGGGGTGAGTTGGGAGATAATAATAATAACAATAATAATAATAATAACAATAAACACACAGATGTTACGTATGAGACAGAAAGACAAAGATAATAAAAAAAGGGGGGAGGGGGGTCAGTGTGGAGACAAAAGTGACAGAACATGACATGGAAAAAGCTAGGTTAGATCAACATCTTTTTCAACATATTTTGAGATACTCTTATTTACAGCCTGAAAGAGAAAAATGTTGACAATCAAAAGATAAATAGAACTTAAAAACGATAATAACAACAGTAATTAAGTAAAAAAAAATAAAAACAAACAAACAAACAACAAAAACACTAATAACAAAATTAAAAATAGAGAAGACAAATTATAGTTGTAAGCAAGCATCAAAAAGTATTTACAGATCCACTGGAAAATAAAATAAATATATATATATAATGATAGGACATGACAACAAGGTGGATGACAGAGCCTCGCTTCTTACGTGCGTGCGTGTGTGTATACATATGTAAGTACGTAAGTATGTAAGTGTGCACTTCAATTACTCTACGGTTATTACTGTATGCTCAATAATGTAGAAATAACGCTAAAAGTGCGCCATAGTTTGAAGCGGCCGTGAGTGTGTCCAGTGTGAAGACTGAAGCGTGGGAAGCGAGGCTCAGATCTCCAGCTATACAGTGTACTCGCTACTGGTGACCTCATGGGTGGTCCACATCTTTACAGCCTTTCTTTTAACGCTCTCTGGGTAACAACGTTGACATACATGAAGACACACACAAAAAAAGAGACGGCAGATTGAAAAGAGAGAAAAAAAAGAGTATTGTAAAAAGAGAGATTAAAAAAAATAAGATATGTTCGATTCATATCAGATAAAATTGATATCCTTAAACGGGAATTTAAATCTAACGTCTCAAAGGCTATAAAGATCCGTGGACTCATCAGCCCCTTATTTGAAGAAAAAAAATGAAAAATAAAAAAAAAGGGCGCGGCCATTACCATTCTTTGTGACATCCAATTATGAAAATATTGAGCGAGGGCTGTTCATACAAGACACTTAAAATCCAAAGAATTCTGGCAGCACTTCTGCCACTGAACTAGAAAACACTAAAATGATGAGCAAACAATGGGATGCAGCGGGGAGGTGATCCAGGCTAGAGAACGGCCGGTTCGCTGTTCACTTTAGATTTAAAAAGTAAAAAAAAAAAAATAAAAAAAAAAAAAAAAAAAGTCGTGCTGGAGAGGGGGGGGAGAGTGAGAGGGAGAGAGAAAGCGAGAAAGAGAGAGTGAGAGAGAGAGAAAGAAAGAGGGATAAGGCTGGAGTAGGGGACGGATGGGGGGGCAGTGTCATCGCAAGACTCAAAAAAAAAAGGGGTGGGGAAGAAAATGATGAAAGGGGAGGTCGGAGAGGGAGGGGGAGACATACTATCCGCTGAGAGAAAACAGGGAAAGAAATAGAATGTCCAGCAGGGGAAAAAAAAGTGGGGGCGGGGAGGAAAAAATAAAATCCGAAATAAAAATGAAAAAAAAAGGTAGATTGGAGACACTGCCCATCCCCTTCCCTCCTTTCTCGCTCCCTCCCCATCACCCCCTCCCCCAATAAACCCCAGCAACGCCTTAGGGTTCCTCGCGGAGGTGAAGAAGAGAGGGCACGCTACACAAATCCCTGTGTCACGCAGACTATCCTCAAAATAATAATTAAAAAAAAAATCACAATAAAACCACAAAAACTCCTAAAAAAAAAAGACAGAGAATGAGACAGAGGGAGAGAGACAGAGAGAGCGAATGAACAAAATCATATGTCTTTCGTTCTAACTCCGACATGCTATACATGCTGTGTCCTGCGTCTGTGCGAGGGAGACTGCGTGTAAAGTGCCTGTCTCCTTCCTCCACCTCCTTGAACGAACGAAACGCAAAAGGGCAAAGCAAGCGAACTTATCATCCTACAGGTGCTGTAAATAAGCTTTAGATAAAAAGGAAAAAAGTATATAAATAATGGATGGTACATGAAAAAAGTTCAAGCGGTAATAATAATCATCATGATTATCGATAATCATAATCGGTCAATAGCAGTAACAACAATATGGGTGAGAAAAAAAAAAACTTTCTGACAGTAAAATACAGAAATGGATAGAGAGAAACATTAGACACATTGTATAAAAAATATAAACTATACATAGAGTCATGTAAACAGATTACTATACAAGGTAGGTCTAGGCTTAAAGGTGTGGGTACAAAGCATTGCCTCAGGAAGTCTTACATTTTGATCTAACCTTTATCTTGACTGGGATACGAGAGGGGGGCGGTGGGACGGCAGGGCTGAGGGGGCGGGTGGCTGTGTGACTGTAACTGGGATTGACTGGTGGACTGTGTGTGTGTGTGTGTGTGTGTGTGTGTGTGTGTGTGTGTGTGTGTGTGTGTGTGTGTGTGTGTGTGTGTGTGTGTGTGTGTGTGTGTGCTGAAGTGTAAATGTGCCTATCCCAAAACGTATTTACACATGTTGAAAACACAACTGCCAAGAGTAAAGGATCTGTGAGGGGGAGAATGGCGTGTGCTGTGAGGGGCAGGGGGTGTGAGGGCGTATGTGTATGGGGGGTGGGAAGGTGGGGGGACCAGCCCTTCGCGCGACCTTACCTCTAGTCGGTCGGTCCGTGGCACCTTCTGAGCCGTGACCACCTGCTGGGGCACCACCCCCGTGATGGGCGAGGCCACGTCGGTCATGCCCATCGTCATGACGGGAGAGGAGGCGATGTAGGGGTTGAAGCTGCTCATTGTCGGGATGCCGGCCAGGTAGGGTGAGTTGTGCTGCTGGGAGAGGACAAGAGAGGCGGTCAAGGGGGGGGGTCGCTGGGTCGTCGGTGCCGCTGGGCTTTCGAAAATGACTTTGGAAAATGAGCTAAGCATGAACTGATTCATTTCCTTGTGAAACAAACTCATTACTAAAATTATATTATTTAAATGAAAAAAAACAATCTACAACTACCTCGTAATAAGAAAAATACAAAATTAAAACCATTATACAGCAAATACAATCAAAATCTGATAGAAAAAAAAAATGTCTGAGAAAAGTGAACCTTCAAAACCTTGACTTTAAATACACACATTTAAAAACAGAGAAAAAAACAAACAAACAAAAACAAATCCCTTAACATTACATTACAGACGAAAAAAAAAATCAATAAAAAAAAAAATCAAGTATCTACCCAAGAACTAAGAGGGAAGGTTAAAAAAAGGCATTTGCAAGACGGATAAATCTGTCCCACACAACTACCCTGTCCGTGAGCACTACAAGAAACCATACTGTTACAACGCTTACTCGAAAGACCACTGCGGGCAATATTGTGGTGATAGTCCTTGATAACAAGTGGAATATGTGAGCTTTTTTAAAAATATATATATAAAAGAAAGATATACTATGCAAACTACTATTCTTTTTAGATACTAAAATAAATAGCAATTAATATATAAAAAAACAATGTATATATAGCGGAAGGGGTGTGTGTTGAAAGGGGCAAAAATGTTGCCAACTAGTGAGGCGGGGAATAATGCAAAGACTTTATTAAAATCAAAACTACTCTGTACAGTCATTCCACTGAGGGTTGCATCAAGGCATATCTCTTCCTTTATTTAAAAAAGGGGGGAGAGGTTGTGAGATTAAAAAAAAAAGACTAAATAAATATATATGTGGTGGTGGTGGTGGGAAGGGGGGCGGGTGGAAGAACGGAAAATTAAAAAAAAAATTAAAACAGCTTTTGTCTTAAAAAAAAGGAGGGGGTGGGGGGGGAGAAAAGCGGAGTGTCTTTAGCTGCGGTTGCTATGATGGGTATATCTGGAGGACTAAAAGTTTAGATAAATATATAAATGTATATATATATTTTTTGTCTTTTTTTGTTTTTGTTTTTTTTTTTGGCTAGCAGGCTTGCTGGTTTTGGCTTGGCTTGGCTTGCTTTTTTTTATGGGCTTGGTGCTACGATCGTCTGAGGATTGAGGAGATCCCCCGTCACCTCAACTACTGTTAATCTTATGGAGGAAAACTACCTGCATATTCCAGCGGGGCATTGGAATTAGTATGCCCGGGGGGGATGCGGTACAGGGAGGCAGAGGAGCCAGACAGGGGGAGAGGCAGAGAGACGGGGCGGGGGGGAAGGGGGGGAAAGGGGGAAGGGAGTGAGAATCAGAGGGTGAGATCGAAAGGACGTGGGTGGGGAGAGGGGGGGGGAAGGAGGCAGAGTAGCCAGACAGGGGGAAAGGCAGAGAGACGGGGCTGGGGGGGGGAAGGGGGGAAGGGAGAATAAGAGGGTGAGAATGGAAAGGACGTGGCTGGGGAGAGGGGGGGGGGGAGGAGGCAGAGGAGCCAGACAGGGGGAAAGGCAGAGAGACGGGTCGGGGGGGGGGGGGGGCAAAGGGAAGGGGGGAGTGAGAATCAGAGGGTGAGAGGGAAAGGACGTGGGTGGGGAGAGGGGAGGAAAGGGGAAGAGGGAGTGAGAAAGACGGGAGGTGAGAATCCGAGAGACGGGCGAGGGGAAGGGGAAATGTGGGAATTGACGCTAAGGGAATAAAAGGGAAAAGACGAGGCAGGGGGAGGGGAGGGGGAAACGAGGGTGATAAAGAAGGGGATTGGGGTGAGAAGCAAGGAGACGGAAGGGAGAAAGACGGGAGGGGGGGAGAGGGGAGAGGGGAGAGGGGTGACGATAGTAGCAATGCGATCATTCCATTCCCAAAGGGGATTCCTAGGGGTTCCAGGGGAAAGGGAAAGTGGGGGAGGATAGAGGAAGGGGGAGGAACGGAAGGAGGTGCGAGGGAAAGAGGGAAGGAGATATGCAGAAGGAGGAAAAAGGAGCGAAATGCGGGAAAGAAGAAGAATTTGTGTGTGTGTGTGTGTGTGTGTGTGTGTGTGTGTGTGTGTGTGTGTGTGTGTGTGTGAGAGAGAGAGAGAGAAAGAGAGAGAGAGAGAGAGAGAGAGAGAGAGAGAGAGAGAGAGAGAGAGAGAGAGAGAGAATGATTCATTTCGAACACAGGAGAGGAAGATGGGGGGGAGGGGGGGGGAATAGAGGGGAGGGAGTAGAGGGGGGGAATAGATGGGAGGGGGGCAGGGGGTTGGTAGAGGGAAGTAGAGGGGGGGTAGAGGACCATGGTGTGGGCGGGACCGTTATCTAAGAGTTAATATGCCATGAAAACATCTAATCGACAAGACATGCTCGAGCGTTTCCCTTACTCTTGCCTTCCCTCTACGTGGAACTCAACAAGCAAAGAAAGGAAAACAGAAGAAAACAGATGAGAGATGGAAAGGGAGATATCGGGCCAGAAGAAGAAGGGAGAGAAGGAGAAAGAGGGAGAGGGAGAAGGAGAAGAGAGGGAGAAGGAGAAGAAGGAGAGTGAGAGTGAGCGAGAGAAGGAGAGAGAGAAGGAGAAGGAGAGAAGGAGAGGGAGGAGAGGGAAAGGAAGAGGGAGATGGAGTTGGAAGGAGTTGAAGGAAAAGGAGATGGTAAAGGAGAGGAGAGAGCGGATGAAAAAAAAAATTAAACTAAGAAAAAAAAAAAATGCACGAGAGCGAGCAAGAACGTTAACAAAAGAAGCTTAAAGAAAACGGCAAAAGCACTCGCACACAAAACCAAATATTAATATAAAAAAAACAACAAAAAACAAAAAATACAAAAACAAAAACAAATAAACAAACAAACAAAAAAAAAAAAAACGCAATCGAAATAACTACTAAACAGATTAAAGAAAATAAAAAAAAAAACAAAAAATATCTCGCACATACACAACCCGAAGAGTTGTAAGCAAGAACCCGAAACAAGGGTGTTTGTGCTACTACCCTTTGGGGGGGAGGGGGGAGGGGGAGAGGGGATGGGGAGTGGGGACGTTACGAGGGTGAAGGTAAGGAGGATGGGAGGGGGGGGGGTGTAATCCTATACCTTACTCCAGGCTTCCACAACTCTGCGGTCGAGGGAGGAGAGAGTGAAGGGGAGAGGAGAGTAAGAGCAGAAAAGGGTGTATAGAATCAAGGGGTAGTAATGTTATTGGACAGCTAGGAAGGGAAGGAGGGAGGAGGGGAAGGGAAGGGAAGGGAAGGAGGGAGGAATGGAAGGAGGGAGGAAGGGAAGGAGGGAGAAGGGGGAAGGAGGAAAGGAAGGAGGGAGGAGGGGAAGGGAGGAAGGGAAGGAGGGAGGAGGGGAAGGGAGGAAGGAAAGGAAGGAGGGAGGAAGGGAAGGAGGGAGGAGGGGAGGAGGGAAGGAGGGAGGGGAAGGAGGGAGGAGGGGAGGGGAAGGGAAGGGAAGGAGGGAAGGGAAGGGAAGGAGGGAGGAGGGAAGGGAAGGGAAGGAGGGAGGAGGGGAAGGGAAGGGAAGGAGGGAGGAGGGGAAGGGAAGGGATGGGAAGGAGGGGAAGGAGGGAGGGAGGAGGGGAGGGAAGGGAAGGGAAGGGAAGGAGGGAGGAAGGGAAGGGAAGGGAAGGAGGGGTAGGGAAGGGAAGGGAAGGAGGGAGGAGGGGAAGGGAAGGTGGAAGGGAAGAGGGGTATGGAAGGAGGGAGGAGTGGGAGGAGGGACGGGGAGGAGAAAGGGAAAAAAACGGGAAAGAGAGGAGGAGGAGGGGAGAAGCGGGGAGGAGAAAGGATAAAAACGGGAAAGAGAGGGGGAGGGAAAAACGGGGAGGAGAAAGGGAGAAAGGGAGAAGGAAGGAAGATAGGAAAATAGGGAGGAGGGAGAGGGAAGGAAGAGAGTGAGTGTGTAGAGTCTAGAGTGAGGGAGATTGAGTCACTGAAGACCGGTTTAGTGTTACACGGTGAAAGAAGGGGGGGGGGGCGATGGGGAAGTATGGGTAGACTGTAGTACTGTTCCAAAATCTGGGTGAATGTAAGAGGAAGAGTGAGAAAGAGAGTGTAAAGGAGAGAAGGAGAGAGAGAAAGTGGGAGTGAGAAAGATGAGAGAGAAACAGAGAGAGAAAGATAGAAAGAGAAAAAAGAGAGAGAAAGAAAGAAAGATAGAAAGAGAAAGAAAGAGAGAAACAAAGAGAAAGAAAGAGAGAGAAAGAGAGACTAAAAAGTATTGGGAGTAAAAAAGACAGCAAATGGAAGAAACTGGATTACCACTGCAACAACGAAAGGAAAGGGAAGTGAACAAGGAATCATAAATACCCAAACATGAAAAAAATTAAACACAAACAAAAGAGAATTCAAAAAATAAATAAATAAAACCAAAACTGAAAAGAGAGAAAGAGAGAGAGAGAGAGAAAAGAACCAAAACACAAAGAGGAACCAAAAGACAGTGCCGGACAGGAGTTCACAAGGGCGCCGGGGAGAAAGAAAGAGAGAGAGAGAGAGAGAGAGAGAGAGAGAAGAGAGAAGAGAAGAGAGAGAGAGAGAGAGAGAGAGAAGAGAGAGAGAGAGAGAGAGAGAGAGAGAGAGAGAGAGAGAGAGAGAGAGAGAGAGAGAGAGAGAGAGAGAGAGAGAGAGAGAAGGAAGAGAAAAAAAAACAAGGAGAGAAGAGAGAAATAGATCAACAGAAAAATAAGAAAAGCAAGAAGAGAGAAAAAGAAAAAAAAAACATGAGAACAAAATAAAAAGAGCGAGAGAGAGAGGAGAGAAAGGAAAAAAAAGAAAACAAGTGAACAAAGAAAAAAAAAGAAGGCCAGGGAAAAAGAGAGAGAGAGAGAGAGAGAGAGAGAGAGAGAGAGAGAGAGAGAGAGAGAGAGAGAGAGAGAGAGAGAGAGAGAGAGAGAGAGAGAGAGAGAGAGAGAGACAGCCAAGGCGAGGACGAGGACGAGGCGGCGCGTGAACCGGGACGTGTGACCAAGGAGACAGGACCAAGGAGAAAGAAGGTTTCAAGGACGAGGCCTCACTTGAGCAGGCACGACGCGGTGGTCAGCGATCAGGTGCGGAGGATCTGCGGGGCCTGCACGACTTTCTCCTGTCGCCTGTAAGCATTCCTACATATAACCTGTGACCTGCGGATGCGAGGCGGTGGGAGGCCGTCTACATAACCGCGTGGTCTTGTGACTGGCTTATCACTGGCCTCTAACAGTAAGGTATTTGCCCTTTAGATATTTGAGATTGGCAACAATAACAACAAACAAACAATAAAAAAGGGGTTATTATTATTTCCATTTCTTATATGAACTTCAGAGAAAAAGGGCTAGTGATAAATAAATATATATGAATAAAAGCTTATAGTAGTGATACTCTGCCTAACAGCTGAAATATCTAGAGAAAAAAAATATATATGTATTTAAATGAGTAGCCTTTACCAAATTTTACTTCATTTGAGAGAAAAAAAAATTGCCTTCGATGAAATTGTAAATCAATATAAAGTCTGACATATCCACCTGCAACTTTCCTCTCTTTTGAGTTTATTTCCTCGAATAAAAATAGAGTAATATAAGTATGAACAACAAGAAGAAAAAAATATATACTTGAAACTGCCACGTTTTGTTATATATATATAAAAATCACACTAAAATAACACGGTGCAGTGGCGAGTTTTCCACTCCGACGATGGAATAAAGTGCGGTGCAATGAGCAAAAAAAAACATGGTGTGTGGTAGGGTGGTAGAGTGTGGTAGTGGGCGCCTAGACCGTTGTTCTTTCGGTCTGCATCACGTTCGTTCCAGACTATCCCCTTCCCTTCCGGCGTTCCCTTCTCCTTTCCCTCCTTATCCCATTCTATAATCCATTTCTCTCCCTACATCACCCACTTCCCTCTCCCTTTTCCCTCCCTCTATTCCAATCTCCTCCGCTCCCTTTCATTCCCTCTCTCTATCCATCTCCTCCCCTCATTTTCCCTCCCTCTATCCCCATCTCCTCCTATCCCTTTCCCTCCCTTTCCCTCATCTATATCCCCCACCTCCCTCACACTCTTTCCCTCCCTAATTCCCCATCTTCTAACCTCCCTTTCTCTTCCTAAGTACCCATCACGAAGAAAAAAAAAAAAAACACACATACATGCTACATACCCTGCATACATATATAGTGAGAGCTTCCCTAGCAATATACCTCACACACACACACACACACAGGCCTTTTGGGGGAAGACCGCTGTCCTAATCTCTTCCACGTATCGGAAAACCCGGTTCCTCCAGCACGTCGAATTGCGTATGACGTAGTTCGCTCCCGAAAAGAAAAAGGCTGAGGGGGGGGTGGCAAAGTGGGGTGTGGGAGGGAGGGAGGGAGAGGGAGAGAGGGAGGGAGGGAGAGAGGGAGGGAGGGAGAGGGAGAGAGAAAGGGAGAGAGAGAGAGAGAGAGAGAGAGAGAGAGAGAGAGAGAGAGAGAGAGAGAGAGAGAGAGAGAGAGAGAGAGAGAGAGAGAGAGAGAGAGAGACAGAGAGAGAGGAGGAAGAAAGAGAAAGAGAATTTGTACAGGGAGAGAGGGGGACAAGAGGGAGAGAGCGAGAGAGAGAGAGAGAGAAAAAAAAGAAGAAAAACAAATATTTGCTGGAGGAAAGGCCATTAAGCCCCTCGACACGACCGCCTCTACTGCTTAATAAAGTAAAGCATTATCGGTTTCCAAAACCTTACGCGCTCATGCCACTCGACCGATATGCCGGAATACATATATACACCCTGACCCTTGGCCGGGCCCTGTCGACACCGCCTGGCCCTCCCCTGCCCCCCCCCCCTCCTTACCTGACCCTGCCTACAACATCTGCTCTCTCCTACCGCCTGCTTCCCTGCTTGCCCCCGCCAGCTGGTTCCTCCTTCCTTCACCCGACAGCTGGTCCCCGCCTGCGCCACCTGTCTACTCCCTCAGAATCTGCCTCGTTCTTTCCCTAAGCTCTCTTTACTCTCGAACACACACTCTTGTCAAATATATAATTAATAATAACAACAAAACAACAATAATGACAATAATAACAACAATAATAATACTAGGCGTTCTAATCTGTTAACCCATTGAATATCCCCTCTCTCCCCCTCCCCCTCACACCCCCCTATTCCTCCCGCCGCAGCCACCACGCCCTCCTCACAAGCCCCGCCCTCTGCGTCAGGTCATCGCCATGCCTCAACATGTCTGCTACACGTTACGGCACTCAGCCACGTTCTACCTTTTCCATTAGCTCATCGGTGTCGGACCATTAAAGCTTACCAAGGAACAAGCTAAATCTTCCTCCTAAACTACTCTATCCCGCCTTGAAAGCCTCCTGTAAAGTCTTAACGTTTTTTTTTAATAATAAAAAAGTAAAAGAATAATAAAAAGAATAATAAAAAAAAGAAAATCTAAAATACACAGACCCAATACAACACCGTTTCTTTTCCAAAAACTCTCTGCCTCGAAATTTCGGCCCCCTCCTACCCCCTCCCCCCCCCCCCCCCCCTTCACCCTATGCCAGGTGCCAGCCCCTAATGAGAGACCCGATCTCCTCCCTCACCCCCCCTCCTCTCTGTGGATACATTGGGGGGGTGGGGGGGGGGCGCACTGTCAACACAAAGACGGGAATGTAGCGACAGCCTCCAATACGTTGTTGAAGAAAGGAGAAAAATTCGTTTGGGCAGCAAGACCTTGGCTTCGTTTACGATCTTTTTTTTATATTTTTACTTTCCTTTTTTTTCTTGTCTTTTCTCCTATCGTTTGTTCGTTTTGAGCTCGTCCCGACCCTCGGAAATTATATTTTCTCTTACTGTTTGTTTTCGTCATTATGAAGTCTCGAAATGACTGATATAAGAACATTCTTTTTTTAAGTCTCCGAGCGTCTGTCCTAGAATTATTCGTTCACGGGTGTTTTTTTTAACGATTTGTTTACTAATGGCTTCTGTCGATATTAACTCCCCTATTTCAACTAACGAACCTAAACCAAACAATAAAATGTTAAATAAAAGACAACATTGTTCAAGACTCAACTCGCAACCTAACGCCCATATTTAAGATTCTGACAAGCGAGAAAGGCACAGATATAGCGTGAGCAAGCACTGTTCCGCGCGTTCTCTCCCGACGGCGTGTTCCCTCCCGACGGTGCGTTCCCTCCCGACGGCGCGTTCCCTCCCGACGGCGTGTTCCCTCCCGACGGCGCGTTCCCTCCCGACGGCGTGTTCCCTCCCGACGGCGCGTTCCCTCCCGACGGCGCGTTCCCTCCCGAAGGCGCGTTCCCTCCCGACGGCGTGTTCCTTCCCGACGGCGTCTGCTCGCCTCCTCGCTTCCATGGCCGAGGTCTCCGCACGGGATTATAATGAGAAAAGTTGAGCTGTTTGCTACGACAAAGTTGATGAAATCTAAGGTCAAACGGTCGTGACTGCGTTGTTTTTTTTTCGTCTTAGGGGGGTGGGAGGGATAGGAAGGTTGTGTCTGTTGGGGGGGGGGGGGGGAGAGGAGGTGATCTTAGGGGGGAGGGGGGTTAGGGCACAAGAGGAGGAGGAGGAGGAGGAGGCTTTGGAGGAGGATATGAGAATGGGGGGAGGGAAGAAGTACGAAGGAGGAAGGGTAATAAAAAAAAGGAGAGGGGAGAGAGAGCGTCGGCATGATCTTGGCTGACTCGCGTCCTCAACAGCCGTCTCGATCTTGCTTTCCTTTCCCACTCCAACAGGACGATCCGCATGCTAAGTAAAAACTCGCAAGAAACAACGCGACGAACTTCCACACGCCGAGGGAAACTCTTTCAAAATACGACGCTGCATTTCCCTTCGTCACGGCCACCTGCAGCCCCCACAGGTCGTGACTCGGGACTAACGACACATTCTGCGCTGTAACACGACCTCCCGCCACCCATAAAGTCGCTACTACCACCACGGAACTACCGTGGACCTAGGCCTACCCCCGGAGCCCCCTTCCCCTTATATCCCTTCCCCCTCTACCCTTCCCTCCTCCCCCCCCTATCAGGAGATTAAAGCCTGTAACAAGCACAGCAGCGTGTTTAGGGCTACCAAGACTTGATACGCACCAAAAACAAACGGCATCTAAAATAACAGTAAAGCTAAATAACAACGACAATGACAACAATAATAACGGGGATAATAATCTTACATGTGGGGAGGAGGGAGCTCGGTTAACTGACGAACGGATCAGTGATTTCCTTTTTTTTTTAATTTCATCTAATCTAATGATCAGCAGAAAAGGCCTGATTCCCCGACCAAGATGAGACGACTGCCCCATTCGGCCTACTAAATGCACCCTCGACCCGCACCCGCCCTCCCCCCCTAACTCTAAGTGCCTTGGCAGAAGTGCCACAGCCTGAAGGAAAGTGTCACTGTCCGGCCGTGTGTGTGTGGCACTTCCAAGCAGAAGCATTATACCAATCCTCAGTCGCTGGATAATCAAGCATACGCATGCGGGGCTTTCACGTATCTTGAAATGTATTTTTTAAAATCCTAAAATATTTCTGTACATTTTAAAAAATCTTCGTGGATATAGAATCGCGCCGCCAGTGTGAATGTCAAGTGAAGTGTTAGTTTAATCTCTCGGTATATCGAGGTGTACCCTGTAACCCCCCCAACCCTCCCCCCCCAACCCTTGCGCGAGTATGAAAGTGTTAAATGAGAGTCGAGAATACCACAATGCGTCACAGGGAAGCACATTGTAGGGAGCCATATCTGCCTGGGTCTGATGTGTTTACGGTGCTACAGTTATGCCGTATATCGTCACCGGCGCGTCGCGTACGTTCTAAACATCCACAATGTAGGCTCTAAATGCTCTGGAGTGCCATAGGTGTCTGGTGTGACGTCCAGTGCCACTTAAAAGACTATAATGTGTAGTCAGAAGCAGCTCTATTGATGCACACTACATGCTACCTCAGAGGCGTGTGTGTGATGACCTGGCCAGCATTTTATGTGTCAAGGTCTGTCCATTCCCTTGCTTTTTAGAAAAGAAAAAGAAAACAAAAACCGAACTCATTTTTCTTGTCTCGTAAAACTGGAAAATATACAACAACAACAACAATAATAATAATAATAATAATAACAACGGCAATCATAATAATACAACAACAAAAGGAACAAAAAAAAATCTTTTTTGGGGGAAAAAAAGGGAATTGGGAAAAAGTTAGGATATAGGTTGTTCCAAGATATTATCATGATGCTCGCTATAAAAGAAGAAAAAAAAATAAGAGTTTAATCACAATACATAGAGATCTCTCATTTGCATTTTTTTCTCTATCATTAAAAAAAAACATCAAAATAAATCTTTGTCATTTACCAAAAGAAGGATTTAGATTTCACACGCTTTGCGTTTAAGAGAGAACAGGCAAATCACTAAGAGGAGGCAGTTCTTACATCTACTGGCGTCGGACAAAGACCTCAAGCTACCTGGTTTGTGCTTAAGAACACGAGGAGCGAGAGGTTAAGGCTGGGTGCTCTCGGGGAGAACACACAGGCGGTTTTATGAGTTACATGAGAAAGTGAAGGATGGAAGTGAATGAAGAGAGAGAGAGAGAGAGAGAGAGAGAGAGAGATGGGAGAGAGAGATCGGAGAGAGAGATCGGAGAGAGAGATCGGAGAGAGAGATGGGAGAAAGAGATGGGAGAGCTGGGAGAGAAAGAGAAGGAGAGGGGAGAGAGAAGGAAAAGAGAGAGAGAGATAAAGAAAAGGGGAGAGAGTAAAGGATAAGATATATAAGGAAAAGAAGAACGAGAAAAGAGAGAGAAAAAAAAGAAAAAAAGACAGGAGATTGAAAAAAGGGAAAAAGAGAATGGGGGAAGAAAAGAGAATGAGAGATGGAAGGAGAGAGTAATGGATGGATAGATAGAGTGAGGAGGCAGTACACAAAATAAGAGAAATCAATTTACGCACTAATAAGCTCAGTAACGTAATGGCTCTTGAAGGTTTAGGTATATATATATATATTTTTTTTTTGGTGGGGAGTGTAAGAAAAAAGCTGCTGTTTTTTTGTCTTTTTTTTTTTTTTTTTACTTTTATTTCATTTTATTATCTTCTATTATTAATTGGCGCGTCTGTGAAAAAAGAAGTGCGAGAATAGCAATAAAAGTTTTATATATATCTTTTTTTTTTTTTTTTTTTTTTTTTTAACTTTCATCATGCTTTTTTCCATCAAGGTCTTTTTTCCTTGGAGTGTCCGCTTTCATCAAAACATAAACCAGCTGTGATCAATTAATAGACTTACTGAGAGCATAAGAGGAACGTTTTCTGCAGAAATTGCGGTGTTGTATAGGGTGTATTGCGCCTGAGTTCCCGAAGATCTCTGCTCTTGTCTACTGTGAGCGGTCGGGGCGCTAGGGTAATATTGTTGTTGCATCTGGGGACGGAAACGGGGGTACTTCAGAAATCGGGGATACTGTCACAGAAAACGGGAATACTGTCACAGAAAACGGGAATACTGTCACAGAAAACGGGAATACTTCAGAATATCGTGGGTGGGATGGAGGGAGGGAGGGGTGGAGTGGGGGGGTGGGGGGGGTAACCTTTCAGGAAACGGGAATTCTTCAGAAAATCGTGGAGGGAGATGAATGGAGGACTTTCAGAAAACGGGGGTGTGGGGGGCACTTTTTTATTTTATTTTTTTATTTTATTTTTTTTTAGAAAACTTCAAAGAACTTTAGTTAAAAACGTGAAGGGAAACTTGTTTAAAAAGGGGAAGTATTTCATACTACAAAACTATGACTGTATAATCAGTATGCAACATGGAGACACTCACGGGATTCTACATCATTTTTTTTCCTTCTAAAACAGGCTAATGCCTTTCCCATCACATACTATGGTAGCAAGTGTTAAGGCAGTCGTCGGTGCATATTTTTGGTACCCGTGCAGTATAAATACCACACTTGGTCTATACATTTCTTCTTCCAATTTCAATCATAGGTAATTTTGTCTCTCTGATTTTCATTACATATACACACATACATATAAATATATACATATACATATACTTTAGGCACACGACATTGCTTAACGCAGCTATTGCATTTACAAAAAGACACTCGCCAAAAAATAATTAATTCTCCCGTGAGTAGTCGCTAAATAGTACATGTACACAAAACAAGGTTGGAACAGGTTGTGGTAGTGGTTAGGATTGGTAGGAGGTCATAGTGGGGTGTAGAAAGGTGGTAGGGAGAGGGAGAGGAAGAGGGAGAGGGAGAGAGAAAGAGAGAGAAGGAGAGGTAGGGAGTAGGTGGGGGGAGGGGGCAGGGGGGAGGGGCAAGTGGTAGGTTTAGGGAGATTATATTTTATGCTCCTCAGTGTCCTTCCAGATGTGTATATATATTGTATATATCTATATAAGACTCCATTCAGCAACAAAATAAAACAAAGAGAGAATGCAAGATGAAAAAAAAACATTCAATACAAAAAAAAGAAGAAAAAAACAAACAAACAAACAATCGTCGTCTTTTTTTACCATCTAATATAAACAAATAAAAAAAAAACAAGATGAAAAAAAACACAAGACGAGGAGAAAAAAAAAAGACTAAGAGAGGGGGGTTGGGAGGGGGGGTTGAGTGCCACAGAGGAAACGCCACCTGCCACAGCGCCTCGTCTTTGGGACACCGCAGACACGCCTGACGATGCCTGACGAAGCTGTGACGAGGTCCTAGCGCCGGAAGGACTTCGGCTGACGAAGGAGGCGCTTGCGTATCCTTAGACAAATTGCAGGAGGAGAGGAGGAGGGATGGAGGAGAGACCGGGGGGTAGGCATGGGGGGGGGAGAGAGAGAGAGAGAGAGAGAGAGAGAGAGAGAGAGAGAGAGAGAGAGAGAGAGAGAGAGAGAGAGAGAGAGAGAGAGAGAGAGAGAGAGAGAGAGAGCGAAGGGAGAAAGGTGAGAGGGAGAGAGAAAGAAGGGGGAAAGGTGGTGAGAGAGAGAGAGCTAAGGAGTAGGTTGGATGAAAGAGCGAGAAAAGGGGGAGTACGAGAGGCGAAGAAGAATGGGGAATAGAGTTAAGACGAGGATGTAGAGAAAGAGAGAAGAGAGAATGGGGGGGGGGGGGAGCGAGAGAAGCAGGATGGGGGGAGTAAATTGGGATTGGAATCAGTAGGACAAGAGAATAGGAGATGGAAGGGAAGGAAACAAATAGAAAGAAGAAAAGAAAAGGAAAGAAAAGAAAAGAAAAGAAAAAAGAGCGAGAGACAAGCAAGAAAATGAAAAAGAAAAAAATGAAAAAGAAAAAAAAACGGAGAATAATAATAAAAAAAAAGTACAGAGAAGAAGAAATACGAACGAAAGAAAGAAAAAAAAGGACTTCCAGAGGGAAAGAACACCCCGAACTTACACCTCCGTAAAACGAGTCCCCCGCCAAATTCCACACAAGACAACAAGGACTCGCCGCTGAGCCCCGACCTTTGCTTCGTCGTCGTGGAACATAAACGACAGAAGGAGAAACTTAATCAAGACGGGCGTGCAAAAGGGCGTACAGTGTCTAGCCTGACGGGGTTGATATATAAACGATGGCGGAGCTGTATGGAGGTTTGAGTTCCACCTTGAGCACGCAGTTCCCCGCCTTCCGACTCCACTTTGACTTCAGGAGGCCAGGTGGAGGCCAGGTGGAGGCCAGGTGGAGGCCAGGTGGAGGCAAGGCCAAGGAGGGGAAGGCTGGCGGATGCCTGAGCTCCACTTTTAGGGCCCGGTGGAGTGACTTCAGACTGACTTCAGAGTGACATGAGGGGGGGAGGGAAGGAGGGCAGTAGAGGCAAGAATCAAGTAGGAAAACGAGCTTCTCATGTTAACAAGATTAATACGTTCTAAAACCTTCTTCTTCCTTTTCCTCCTTCTTCTCCTCCTCCTCCTGTTCTTAATTCTTTCTTCTTCTCTTTCCTTCTTCCTCCTTCTTTTTTTTTTCCTTATGTAATCCCGCCCATCACCCAACGAGTGATTCCATCCGTGAACCTTCCAGCTTAAAAACAACTTTAAAATTTCCCGCAAATTAGAGAAGTTACCCCCAGGCTATATCGCCATAATCGAATTCTTCCTTCGTGAGGGCGGGAGAGCTACGGCCGAGGGATAAAAGCTTGCATCTTCCTTTCCCTCCTCTCCCCTCTCTCCCCTCTCCCCCCCCCTCGCCCACAAGCTCCCCATCCCCCCACCACTCCATATTGTACTCATCCCCCCCCCCACTCTCTCTTCAACCAGGCTCCCCCCCTACCCATTCCCTCTCCCCCATTCTCTTTCCATATTGTACCCCTTGCCTATCCCCCCCCCCATCAGTTCCCATCCACTAGGATACCTACCAGGCCTCCCCCCTCTGAATCTTACCCCTCCCCCCTCCCTCAAACCCCCATCCCCCAATTTGCCTCTCCCTCCCCCCTCCCCCAAATCCCCCTACCCACCCCATACCCATCTCATGCAATACCAAAAAGGAACTTGCATGACCCGCCCGCCGAAGCTCAAGCGACACCTCCTGCATGTGCAACGTCCTGCAACTCGTCCTTGACTCGCGCGTGCAGGAATTCCGCATACGATTTGCATACGGCTGTTAAATATTTGCAAACCGTTGATGACTGGCCAGCATCCAGCCAAACTGGGATTTTCTGTTCTCATTTTTTTTCCCCTAAGAGAGGCTATTGTGTGAGGACGCCTACGAGGAACAGGGAAAGAGCGCAAGAGGGAAAATGAATAAAGGAGGGGCTAAGAAAAGAAAGGGGAAGAGAGAGGATAGGAAAAGAGAGAAAGGAGGGAAGGGGGCAAGAGGACACATGATCTACATTTCCGCTGCGTCTCACAATTCAATCGTGACGTTATAAACACGATTTCTTTATCGCTTCTACCTGTCGTTTCGTTTTATTTTATTTATCATTGTTTTTTTCTCTTTCGGGAAAATGCTACGGAAATCGCTCTCTTAGGATCAGAGCAGAGGCCAAAGCTACTCAGCTCAGTTTCCATTTACGGATAAACCGGTACGGATAGATCCACCCTCCCCCCCCTTACAATTAGCCCCCCACTTGCTTTATCTATATGATTATCTTTTGTCTGTATGCCTGTGTCTGTATTCTTGTGTCGCGTCTGTCTGTCTATCTGTCTGCCTTTTTTCCTATCGTGCAATCTGATTAGATATCAGAATATCTCGCGATCCATCTAACACTACCCATTCTCACTCACTCACTCTCTCACTTTATCTCTCTCTCTCTCTCTCTCTCTCTCTCTCTCTCTCTCTCTCTCTCTCTCTCTCTCTCTCTCTCTCTCTCCCTTTCTCCCCCATGCAATCCGACTGGACCTCCTCATCACAACAACCGCCATTGTTCGCCCTTTCCTCTCGCAGAAGTTGGCGGCTCGGCTCGCCCCATCTGCTTAAGTTCCCCCTCCGTTGTTTCTCCTCGCCCCGTTTTCCCTACAGCCGCGTCATCGTCGTTCCCGCTTCCTCTTCGTCAGGCATCAGCTGTTCCTGGAGCCAAGTCATTACCGGCTTTTTATATGGAAACTTGGGAGACATCTGGAACTCCCGTGGCCAATCGGGGGGGGCGCAATATTAAAATTTTGGGGGAAATCAACGAGGGAGAGGAGGAAGGAAGGGGGGGAAGGGAGAAAGGGAGGGGAGGAAGGAAGGGGGGGAAGGGAGGGAGGAAGGGGGGAAGGGAGGGGAGGAAAGAAGGGGGGGAAGGGAGAAAGGGTGGGGAGGAAGGAAGGGGAGGAAGGGAGGGGTGGTGCGGGGCCGTGCAGGAGGCCCATGATGGCGCCGACGGAGAAAATACGCAAACGCACACACATCTTCCACACACACACACACACACACACACACACACACACACACACACACACACACACACACACCGTGCATTCATCTACGTTAAAACCGTGGAGCACATCGTCCAAGACATCTCCGATTTCTACTCTACCGACGAAAGATTTAATTCTTTTTTTATGAATAAGTAATTATATGAATACAAATGAGACATGAGACTCTACATCCATCCTTCCTTCCTTCCCTCCCTCCCTCCCTCCTTCCCTCCCTCCCTCCCTCCTTCCTTCCCTCCCTCCTTCCCTCCCTGGTCGACACAAGACGGCATAACTAAGGAAAGAATTAATATTCTCACTGAGCGCTACCATGTCTGACGACCTCCGCCCTCGCCCGTCAGCGTCTCGGGTTAGGTCCTTGTTTATCTGTCAATCTGTCTGTTTGTTTGTCTATTCCTCTCGTTTCTTGTGTCCCTTCTCGCTCACGTTCTTGTCCCTTTTCTCATGTCTTATGTTTACTCCACCATTTTGTACGCTTGTTCCTTCCCTTCCCTCCCTCCCTCCCTCCCTCCCTCCCTCCCTTCCTTCCCTCCCTCCCTCTACACCCCTCCCCCCCCTATTTCCTATCCTACCCATGATACCTAAAAAGTGTAATATTCAGGCAGTAATTTAACGTGCTAAAAATACGCCTTAAATATTTGATTAAAACTGAACCGGTTTAATTGCAAGCGCTTCAAAACACAGCATTTGTATTTTGGTTTGAGGGGGGGGGGGGGCGGAGTAAGGGGTCAGGGTGCAGGGAGAGGGAGAGGGAGAGACGGAAAGAGGGAGAGGGAGAGACGGAGAAAGGGAGAGGAACAGATAGACTGATAAATAAATCATTTAGATATTAGATAACTCGATATACAGATAGATAAATTGATCGATAGATAGACAGAGAGAATCCCCCTTATTTCGGTTTATCACAGCCACGAATGCTCATTATTTCGGCGTAAAACTAAATAAATAAACATTTTGATAAATAAATAAATAAGCTCATATCGTGAATCCGTCCATATCCTTTCGATGAAATCCGTAGAGATTAACGTGATAATCGCTTTTCGGAAAAAAAATTATATCATAATGAACATCCATAACAATTTTGAGATGAAAAGCTATAAAAAGAAAGGAAAAAAACAAACAAACAATAAATGAAGGAGATTAAAAAGAAGCACATGGTAGATGACATAAAAAATAAATATATGTAAACAGGAAGATAAATAATAAAGAAACATGATAAAAAGAGAGAGAGAGAGAGAGAGAAAGGACTAAAGCCTCGCT